CATAGAAACAAATTATCTCAGCAGTGATGGGATGTCCTTAAAATCTGAGGTGCTCTAAATTACCTGGCTTGCACACCGAGGAAAAAGCTGGACAGCACATTGATGAAACACATGCAAGCTTTCAATATCCCAGAATTCTGTGGGACTTGTGCCAGCAATAGCGCTGAGGGAAACTGGTTAGTTTTAAAGCCAGCATGAAATGAAAATTCACTCCATCTAATTTGTAAATGACTGTTATAGCTCTTATTATTAATGTCATCCATGTATAGGCTTCATTTTTAATTTTTTACAAAACAATAAGTTATAACTCAATCTTCCAATGAAAACATCTACTCCCTGGTGATGTACACCAGTCTACTCCATTTAGTCTGCTTTAACTCTGTCCCTTTCTTACAAGCTCACATTAATTTGATTGCAATTCCCACATCTCAAAATCAAATCAACCAATTCCTCAACCTATATTTTTCCTTTTTTAATATTTAGTTTCACTTGGATGTATGTCACAATGGCAAAGGAAGCATCTGTCACTACTTCATTTTCATTGCAACTTTAATCTGAAGGAAAACAGCACTACAATGCAATTAGAAAAAAGATGCAGCCAGATGGGTCAGCAGAGTTTGAATCCGGGTTCCAGTTATTTCCTAATTTTCCTGTAGCACACATTCTCCCACCCACCCTTTTCATGTGTTTCCTGTTGTTGCCACTGCAAAAAAAGCCCAATAAAATGAAAAAGATGGTAGAAAGAAAAGACAAACATCCCACAAATGTTTCACAATATCAAAAAATGTATTAAATTACAGATGGTGAAAAACTACAGCGAGGAGAGAACAGGAACCCTCACACATTAAACATTTGCAGTGTTCTTTGGGTAAGCCACGGTTAATAACGTGCACAGCTCCATCTTCAGATCTCCTCAGGGGTTTGCTTCAAAGAGGCAAAGTCTTTCCTAAGAGAGCATCATATGCACCAAAGGAAGCTCGGACTTCACCTTTAACTGGTGAAGAGGAAGGATCTACAATAAACGAGAAGTGACAGCACAACATAGAGAAATCCAGTCAGACGGGGCCTGACGTACAGTTGATGTGTCAACAGCTACTCTGAAGTCTAACTGAAACAAATCAACTCTGTTTGTTCAGAGATCGTCTGTAAATAATAGGGCTGTGCGATCAATCGTACTTTAATCATGATCACAATTTCTGCTTCTTATGATTAAGCAATATTGGCCCACACTGATTATTTATCCTGAAAATGTATACTATAAATAATCGGGATTATCAATTTAACTATTATTGAGCAGCTCTTGTACTCAGGCACTAGTATTCAACACGTGAGCAAAGCAACCATTTGAACCAAGGCTCCGGAAAACTAGGCCTTTCATATCTATCCATATTGTTTTCCCATCTTTACAAAAGACATTCAAACTTGAATGCTATCACACTTTCCTCCACACAACCAGTCAAAACACAGGCCACTATCTTAAGGACTGAGAGAACATCAAAGGTACCAAGATTTCATTCCTGTCAGAGAACTACAACCAAAGGTGCATTGCTGTAGCAGCTAACACAATTTTTAAATGACTTTTCCAAGAATACAGAGCTAGCAGCACATCAAAACAGAAGATTCCTGCTCGTACAGCTTACACAGACCTTGACTTTCCAGTAAACAGTTGTCTGTTATCTGAGAAGAATGTCTTCTAATGAGATGCTGCAATAACAATACTGTCTGCATCACTAGGCGCGTTTCCATTACGGATTTGCGCAAAACTTTGGCGATATTTTATAAATGTCGATAAAAGGGTAATGGAAACGCGCCTAGTGACAACAGGTATGGCGGCCACGCAAACGTTATTTATGATCCATACAAAAACATAGCAAAGCCCATAGCAGGGCAAGAGAATATGCAGAGTTGAGTAACATCACAAGACCTGCGAGAATATCAGAGCTTGGTATCATTATATTGGTCTATTACTGCTGGTATCTATAGTGTTCACACTGCCAGCAGCACGATTTAGCCTAATGGCACCAACAGGTTATTGAAGTTACACTATAAATAGAGACAAGGTAGAAAAGCAGTTCAGCATAAAAGAGGAACAGTGCCACCAGAACTGTGAACGAACAGTAGAGATGTGCAAAATTTTCAAAATTCCTAGAGGACCTATTGGTCTTAAGGTAGCCATGAATAATTAGGCAGGTTTTGGGCTGGAACAAAAATCAGCTAGAGGGGTCACAACAAAACAATCACGTACATCTGAGTGTAATGGATAATCAAAAAAATATATATAGGACGGAGACTTGGTTCTGTTTATCAGTTGTTAATGTGGGCAATACAGGCAAGAATGGAGGCAGATGAATGTTAGCTTGCAGGGACGGGTTTAAGCTGACTAAAATGACTGGAGAAGTCCAGCATACGTCACAAGAGAGAAGTCTGTTGTTTTCACTGCAAGATCCAGTTATGACATTTTTTTATTAAAAAATGATGTAAAAAAAGAAAAGAAAAGTAAATTTTTCACAATAAGACCCATAACATGCATTTAGAAAATAGAGTGAATTTTCATTTCATGTGGTTTTTAAGTAGCCATTCACAATGAAAGAATTTGCATTACAGAAATGATCTAGGGATGACCTTCTTTAAACTTGACATATCAATGCTCAACGGTGAGAATCTCCAAAAGACACATGGCGCGAACACAACAACCACATAAGTCTGGCTCATGTTTACATAGAAAAACAGTGCAGTGGAATGCAACAACATGTTCTGTGTGAATCTAAAGACGCAGCTTCCCAGAGAGGGTTTGTTGGATCAAGTGGTCAGTTGTTGTACAGCTATTCGATTGGATCAAGTGGTCGGTTGTTGTACAGCTACTCAATTAGCTGAAGGCCTACTGCCTAGGCCCCCTCCTTTCATGCAAACTACAAATAATTTCAGGTACAAAAACTTTATGAAGGGGATTAGGAGGTAAATTAGGAGGATTAGGTGGTTTATGCAAATAGTACAAGATAGGAGTGCTCCAATTGATCGGCTACCGATCACTATCGGCCGATAATCGCTTTGGGATGATTGATTGGCGGTCTCTAAAAAGGCCGATCTCAAAAAAACGATCTCAAGCTGATGACGCTGCCGTGAGAGGTTTGGCACGACATGCAGCGTCACCGTCAGAGGTCTATTTTTGCTGCGCTGCAAGCCTGAATTAAAGTAACAGTGCATTGTTTGCAGTAAATATGAACATGGATTGACACGAAAATGTAGTAATTACACCATAAATGCATATTATTAAAGTCTACTGTGTTTCACAGTCAACACATATGGCTTTTTGGCTAGGTTTAAAGGGAAAGAGCACTTTTAGATAAAGAAGGCAATAATAGATGGCACTCGTGGAGGAAGGAAAACAAAGTTTGAATAATGTGTTGCTTATATTTATTGCGTTTAAACATGTCTGTGAAAGATTGTATTACTGTACTGCGTAAAAAAAGAATTGCAAAGCTGAAAAAGCATTTTCAGTGACAATGTTTGGATTTGAAATCAAAATAATGGATAAATGTTGTGTTTGTGGTAAACAGCCACGGATCAGTAGCGGACTCCTGTGTGAAAGCTGCTTCCCCTCTCACAAGAGACACCTAAGAGGGGAATTCCCCCCATTTTCAAAAATGAAATTCAGGCCCTGAATAAATGTATAAAATCCTGATTGGAGTATCACTACAAATAGTTATAAATGATAAAAAGAAGGCTTTAAAAAGATCGGTATCGGCAGATACTGCTTTCTGTGATCGGCCTCAAAAATCCTGATCGGAGCACCCCTAGTACAAGACTAAGTAAGTGAGGATGTGGTTTGCTTATACTGAACCAGAAATAACAAATGTTAAGAGTAATATAATATTAAGCAAACTGAGAGGTTTAATTTCATCCAATCAGCACATTACAATACATTACAAGACAATTGGTTCTGATCTAACAGCCATATTAAAGGCACAGTGGTGTATTCATTTAATCTCCCTCATGTTGTTCCAAACCTGAATTGAATTTATTTGTTCCGTGGAAACTTTCATTGCTTTTTTTTTTCTTCATACAATAATGGAGAATGATAACTGATGCTATCTCCTTTTGTTTTCAATGGAAGCGCAAGAAAGTCATGCAGGTTGAGAATGACATGAGGGTGAGGAATTACATTTTTATTTTTGGGTGAACTATCCCTTTAAGGATATGGAGCAGATGGTGAATTCATTTGTAAGGGTGAATTAACAACAATAATTGAAGAACAAATAGGAAGACATTTGATTACACGTATTCCCACCACAGCCTAAAACAGCTAAGACTAAAAACAGGCTTCATCTTAAACCCAACATTAAACTTCAAGAGATCCTCCAGCAGTGCCCTGATGCTCTGCAATCATGTGATAGGAGCAGCGTTACTGCATCACGTGCCCAAATAAAGTTTGCATCTAAAAGGTTGCGACAGCAACGAAGGGCATTAGGAAATTAATTATTGGATTCAAGTATAACACTTAAAGGGCTTAGCTTGCAAGACTGAGCAGTATTATTTGATTAACGCTATCAGCTCAACTTTAAAAATTGGCATGACACATCTGAACGAGCTGCCTAAAACGATTATCTTCACCACAGCAGAAGCGACGCCAGTGTCTCAAACCCTGCCTCTCCTAACCCTAGGTAGCCAACTCAAATCGTTTGAAACAACCGTCAACTTCACACACAAAAATTTCACGGCTGCTAAAGCCCATAAACTCATGTTTTGAATCGTTAATGTGCGTGGCACGACTCGCTTTGCAACAGCTGGTCAGTGTTAACAGGAAGTTGACTGCGTACCTCAACTAATTACAGCTTTGGTGGTGTTGAGAAACCCAGAGCTTTCTGCAGGGTGGCTCCCTAGTTTTTAAATAAACGCTCCACTTATGCACCATTTGCGCCCTGTTGTCAGACTCAGGCTGATCATAGACTCGATGATATGTTTAGGTGCGTTTGAAGTAACATGTAGAGTGCCATACGTACCAATCGGTTGAGCCTCCTCCGTAACATCTTGAATTATTCTGTCTTCTTTGGTATCTGAAGACACTGTCGAGCAGCTGTTCCTTTTGTTGCAGCCTACTACAGGCTAGTTGCGCTTGATGATGAGTAAGTTTGCATGTATGACGGCAAAATGCGCCCTATTTAGCTATCTACTTTCTAACCTGTTTCCCCGAGCTATATGCAATGCGGCGGTGATGCTACATCGTTTCCATATTAATTGAATCCTGTCCTCTCTAACCATTCGCATTCTCCTTTTTGGATACTTTGCGCGGCGCTAGTCGCGGGAGCTCCCCGCGCGCGGGGTTGATTCACTCAGCGGCATCCTGTACTCTGTGTGCCCTGTTGCTGAGCCTCCAAATAATTCACCGCATTCGCCTCCCCGCGGTTAACGGACAGCACGCGACTGGAGATTAACGAGAGGAAAAAAGTGATGGCGATGTCTTGAAGGTGCGGATTTCCACTCGTGTGCCGCCGCCGCCGCCTCCTCCTCTCGTTCAGATTCCTGTCAAACACATTTTACTCTCCTAACGCAAGAGCCGCTACGACAACAAGCCCCGCCCCGCCCCGCCCCTCGGTGCCGTCATGATTGCTGTAAAGGTTTCTGGGAAATGTATTTTTTGGGGGGGATTTTTTTTTTTTTTTTTGCATTTTCTAAAAGTTCAGCTGAAATTAACGTTGGTGATAGTCGTGTGAACATATTTTATTTGTAACGTTGATGTCATTGTCATTATAAGGTTATAAGAAAATACTCTTCGCTCTGTTTCATTTCCTTTTCTTTTCTTTATTTGGCAGTATATCTTGGGACAAAGCATGGAAAATCCAGTATACATTTTTTATATAAATAACAAGGTCAAAGTCAAAATAGTCATTAAACATTTAAATTCAATATATTACATTATAATATTAATAGATATAACATAGGCTACATTACATTTATTTTGCAATAAGCTATAAGTTCTTTAGTGTATTCTGTAATACCATGAGACTCAAATCACCGAATGTGACATACAGTATACGTAATAGAGTATCACATTATTTTGTCGCATTTTTATCTGCATTAAAAAACACTAACGTGTTTCATGTCGACGATGTGAATCATTGTGTCAGTGGCCTAAATCATAACAGACAATAAGTCGTATTACAAATACATAGGCTGCATGAGCCATTAATAACAGTAGGCTACGTGGTCGTGTCTGGGATGAGATAAAATGCAGAAAGTTCTGAATAATGGACGTCCTCTCTCACCCCTTTACTCAGCTGTCAGCTATTTGATATATTTTGTTATAGCACCACCATGTGGTTCATATTTAGATTGCAAGCACGTTATATAGGCCTATTTACCCAACAAAGATATGTAGAAAGCAGTAAGTTTTTTATTTACAATCACGTCTTTTTCTGTTATTTATTTATTTTAAACACAACATGTAAGTGTTACCAGCTCTGTTCAGTTGAAGATACTTCAGTCCTCTTCTAAGTTACAGGGACACTGAATTTATGATCCATATTGTTAAGAGTTCGAAATTATTGGGGTTATGCATAAACATGCCCAGTCACTAAACAGCAGCAATAAAACATTAAAGCTATCCCATGACTTTTTCCTTTTACCATTGTAAAGGGCTCAAATTTGTGCTTTCATAAACATATTTGTTTTTAACAAATGAAAGAGAAACATTGGAACATTGTAATTCTAAACTCAGTTGTGTATTTCTACCCAGAATCTGTCATTCTCTGTCATTCTCTTTCTACCCCAGAATCTGAAGATATTTTAATGGAACTTGATTGCATGGTCTTTGCTCTGCATTTTTGTGTTTCTGTTTTGTGTTTTATTTCTTTATGTATTTATTCACATTCAATGTCAGTTATCATGTATTAATATATTCAGCTAATATCTGTTGTTAGATTACTGTCCTTTTTGGTACAATTTCCCGTGTCAATAAAAAATAAAAGCACCCAAATGACACAGCTTGCCTATATATGTGTGTGTGTGTGTGTGTGTGTGTGTGTGATTTTGAGGTTTTCACAAAAATGAGATCATTAAGCCCTCGTCTAGCGATCCCAATGCTCCAAACAATTTTAGATGTTTAATTACCTTTATTTGTATGTTTTCTGAGAGGAGTACCTTTTCTCCTCTGCTTCTCACGCTGACTGTCATCGGAAGCGCGCGCATAAAAGGCGCTTCCGACTGCGCGCGATACCGATAAATATACACATATACACAGAATTACAGTATTTAAGTATTCACGCAAACATAATCTGTTATGTCTTAAAGGCACAATATGTACGATTTTTTTATTAAAATATCCAAAAACCACTAGAACAGTGTTATATATTTTGCTGACTTGTGTACTTACATTATCCCAAATGTTTCGAAGAATGTTTAAAGCTTTCAGCCTCACCCTGCTTCATTCTACTATATTAATAAATCATTAGCTCATCCATAAACATGATTTCTGCCAGAGTCCCGTCAGATTGCATCGGCTGTGGGGATGAAGACGGCAACTCCCATGATTCCACACTCACTCACTCACTGCATCATCAAACTACGCCTTTGTCTATTTGTTTATTTTGAATACGCGCCATCCAGCGGCGAAAATTACATATTGTGCCTTTAAGTGAACGTTTGGGGAAAAACATCTGATGTGTAACATTATATTAGATCCGTGCATTACAGTAGGTCTTAATATATAGGCCGTCTGTCTCATTAATGTTAATCTAACAATAAAAGAGGGAATCACTCCCTGCTCTTGATTGAACTGCTTTTGTAGTTTTAATAATAAATTTATTCGTAATTAACAGACTAAAAGGATTTTTTACATTTGATTACTTGTTTTTCTTGAATGCTTTTGTTTATATGTAAAATGAAAAGGGTAATTTGTTCTACTTTTTATTTTTTGTAACTACTACTAGTTTATTTTTTGGATATGTTCTTATTTATAATAACAAAGATAAAATAAAAAATAGCTATATTGTGATTATTAATATAGTAATTATTATTAAGAAAAGAACTGGAGGAAAAGATGCAACGTTGCTGTGATTTTGCTTTGGAACTTTTTTCTCAAAATTGACTTTGCTGACTCGGTCAACTTCAAACAGGTGTAGCTCAGCCATTTTTCGTCGGATTGCAACAAATCATACATCATTCTGAAGGTCTTTTAATGGAGAATGTGAACATATGAATAACTCATTTTTGAAAATGTGCTCATTGTTACTCATTTTGCCAGCACAGGTCACACACACACACACACACATATATATATATATATTTATACAAAACCCTAATATAGGCTACAAGATATTATAAGACCTGGCACATAGTGAGGTAAAAAAAATATTGATAAATAATATATTAAAAAACTGATATTAATGCAAATAAAACATTATTAAAAGGTTATTATTGAAAAAACATTATTAAAACCCCTCTTTTGTGCAGAACTACTTCCTTCTGCCAATGATTCAATTCTCAGTTTGACAGTTTAACAGCTGAGCTCAAGCTTCCGTTACTAATTGAAAACGTCACTTTAGAACTAGTAAGGAAGGAATGTTGAGTTGCTTCATTGAAAGTTTATTGTATTACTGTATTAAAAGCAGTGTATTATGTAGACTCGAGTATTATGAGAGAGAGATGGACTGAGCGAGTGTGATTACCTGCATCTGATACAGCATTCATTCTTCAGCTCAATCTCATATTCACAATAAAACATTAGTCTGAATGTCCGCTGAGGAAAGCCATATCTTTGTTGTACTGTCCTTTCATCTGTTAAGGGTAATTCCCGACAGCGCTGATGATGCTCAGTGCATTTGTTGGCTGCGTCTTACAAGGTGTTGGACAAAATAAAAATAACTTCCTTATTTACAACAGCGTTTCAGTCTCTTTCAATATAAAAGTCTTTACTGCTGACTTGTAAAAACAGTCTCTTGTCGCTATCTAATGGCGGAACACTAAAATCACCATCTCGAACACACTGTTTCTCACTAAACACTAGCCTACTCTATTATTTATATAAAATATTTTTTATTGAATAATAATATTTAATAAACAACAACAACAACAGCCATCATAAAAGTTGATAGGCAATTCAGTCAAAAGAACGGAGGCTCTTATATACATCATTGAAGTTACATAAAATATAACGTGATGAAATTTTGCTCTCAGCCAAAACTATTTGCTCTGGAACAAATAATAGATTAATGACACCAAAGATTGCCCATTAGATTTACCCACTATAGAGACATCAGAGCCAGCGGCAAATTCCAGAAAATCTGGCCGAGGTAAGGCTGCTCTCAGTGGGTTCATGAGCGCTGAACGGCCGCTGACGCCCTGGAGCTCACATCTCCAAAAACGTCGAAGCAAATTTTCAAATGGACGTTATCTTTATTAACAAACCGCATATTTGAAGTCTAAACAAGTATATTCTCGCCTAAAAACTCTTAAAACTACATTCCGTGGCACAAAACATATTACTTTTTAAATCATAGTGGATTTGGGCGTCCGCCATGAGACTTGCTGTGAGAAATACAGCAAGCGGAGTGATACAAACAGTGAAACAGTTGGAGGAGTTCTGTTATCACTGTAATATCGCACTCTTATCAGCCAATCAGATTCAAGGAACAGAAAGAACTGTTGTATAAATATATGTACAACACTAAGGTTCTATAGCATTTTCAAAACATGATTCTTTATGGAACCTTATAAAAAGGGTTATAGTTAGCACCAAAAAGGCTTCTGCTATTGTTACAAGCCAAAGAACCATTTTCTGGTACCGTTTAGAACCGTTTTTCTTAAGAGTGAAGCAACCGCCTATAGCGACTACTCGTAACACCTTAGAAACTGCAGTCACTCAGAACAACTTAGTAACTGACTTTGGCTACATCACAAACATGCAGTCATTTATTATTATTATTAATTCAGCTTTTAATTGTTTTTAAATTATTTTAATAATTTTTATTTAATTTCCATGATTTGCTATACTTTATCATCAGTGGAAAATTATATTAGGGCAGTGGTTCTCAGCCTTTGTAACTATAAGGTCCTCCATTGTCAAATTCATTATTCAAAGGGCTTCAATATACAGACTGTGATATTTACTTATTTATAAAAAATTATATATATATACAGTGGGTACGGAAAGTATTCAGACCCCCTTAAATTTTTCACTCTTTGTTATATTGCAGCCATTTGCTAAAATCATTTAAGTTAATTTTTTTTCCTCATTAATGTACACACAGCACCCGGTAAGGTTGCAGACTGTGGGGGGAAAAATGCTCAGCAGTTCATGTAAAGCACATAATCTTTCTCCAGAGCAAGAAATATGTTGCATGCTACATGTTACTGGCCCGAGATGCTGGGATGGGCTCCAACATCCCTACAACCAGAGGATACGTGATTTGGAGAATGGATAAATGTTACATGTTGCATGGAAATTCTTTGAAAGTTCACTGAAGCCCCCTAGTGGGCTACAGCACAGTGTACAGTTGACAACCACTGGACAAGAGAAGCCCTTACGAAGATCTGAGATGACCAAACA